AAAGAAAATATTTAGTTATTTGAACAAACGTTGCTTGTTGCTTTCTTTATATTCGCCTCGTTACAGAGGATACGTAAATAATAATGGGAAAAGAATTTTTATTCATCCATTGTATCGGTTGTAGTGATTTGTATAGGATCTAGCAGATTTATTATTAGAATTATCTTTGTATGTTCGATCGATACGGTTTCAAAATTAATCATACTTTCACCATGGCGTTTTAATTTTATGTATAACTCGAGAATATACTACCCGATATACGAATCCTTTCGAGGAAAGGAAAAATATTTCCCTCTCTTTTAATCTTATTAAATAAACTCCGATTCACGAGAATACGGTTGCAATTGTTGGAAATACTTGAAAAAGATTCGTGCGAGCGATTTTCTTTTAAAAACCGTAACACAATTTTTAATAATTAATAAAATAAAATAAAATAAAATAATACTCGAACGCTATTCCGCGATTTCAAACATTAGACTCATAACATTAAGATCTTTCCTTCTCGAAGAATTTTTAATCGAGAGAATGAAAACAATGATACGATAAATCGTTCGAGAACTTTTGCTTTCGAATTCCCTTCCCAAGACGATCGGTTTCGTAATGAGACCATCTTTCTTCGATTTAATCGAATCGATCGGGGTACGAATCGAAGGGCAGTCGATTCCCTCGGCACGTTGGCCGACGATCGATCCGCGACGAAGCACCGGGGTTTGCATAGGTATGCATTTACCGCGAACCGGATGACTCCGAAATTTCTTCCGCCGGTAACAGGAGGCTTCCTAACGCTATTAGAACGTTAGTCGCGCGCCGGTAATGCCGCGGTTGTTCTAGAAAATCGACCTGTCACGGGACGTCCCAGCCGTCTCCTCCTCCCCGCGATCCTCCATTAATATTCCACGCCAGTTTTCCTGCTCGATTTCGTTGATCCCTGTTATTCACGATCGTGCTTTCCTCCGTCTTACGTTATCCCCCTTCCGATAGTCTGACAAATTGAGCGTTGCACAGTTTTTCGGGACGCAATTGTATCGATTCGATCGAAACACGGAAGAGAGAATTCATTTTTTCCTTTTTAACGGATCGTGATTGCGCGCAACATTTTGGAAAGTGTGGATGGCTTTTTTCCACGGGTTTTCTTTCGACATGTTTGAAATCAATCTTGGCTTGGATATTTTGAAATTAATGTTATCGCGGTTGAGTAGATTGAAAGTAAGAACGAGGTAAGAAGGATGAAATATAGCTTATATGCTCGAAACTGCTAAATATGCGAGATGAGAACGACCTCCTTCGATAATCCATCCTTTCTCCAAATTTTCAATTTCTGACTTTCATTCGTGAAATTTCGATCTCGGCGTTAAAATTTTAATCGAGACTCGAACTCGTCAATTTGCTCGAGATGGATTCGAATAAACGGGCCTTCAATATTCCAACCCGGTCTCAAGTCGACGTCGAACATACATATGGATATTGATAATAGGTTGCATCAATTTCCAAAGTGGTTATAAATCGTGCATGGTTACACGGCGCACGCAAGATCTTAACGTCGCGAACTTCTTATTTGCTTCGACCTCTTGAGCGGCAAAAAAAAAAGGAATTACCACCTTTTTCTGCTTATCTTTGTTGGCAGCCACGAACATTTTTCGCCATCTCGTTCGCTTCGTAATAAAAACTAGTTATCGTGTTATGTTACACAATCGTTACCTGTAATTTTCTTTTTAACCGTATTAATCTCGATTTTGAATGATGCAAAATTACGAATGTATTTCTATTTCGAGTGAAATTAATCTCGCTAACATTCGATGAAAAATAAATATTTTTCCGCAAGGTGGAACAAAATTTGATTCTGAAAAGATTAGTTTTAAATGGAAAGGGGATAAGGATCGTGCTAAATAACACGTTTATTGATGCATTAATAAAAAAATAATTGTAAAAGTTGTGGTTATCCGTGGCTTTGTTTGCATTATCATATAATATAGGTAAAAGAATGAATACGTAATTAGAAAATTGTAAACCGCGATATAAAATTATTGAAAAATATTATTAAAAATATTATGACTCTTACAGTGTATGTTCGAGGCACTGATTCGAATCATTTGCAAAATCATTGTCGATAACTTTCATAATTGTTTAATGCCAATTTCAACGTTTTTCGTGGAATAACCGTGAAACGATGGAGGGAATGTTAATTCAATATTCCAGAGAGAGAGAGAGAGAGAGAGAGAGAGAGAGCGTCACATGTCGAGAGTTTTGATGTTCTCCATAATGTATGTCCGTCATAAAATATGAAACCTAATAGAAATACGAGGAATATCTTATAAAATATAAAGCGATAAAGCGAGCCTGCGCATAAGATGTTTAAATAGAAACACTTAATGCGTTATTATAAAATATTATTCCGACATATTATATTTTCGTGTGATTCGTAACCACGTCGTTGCATCGTTGGATGCACCGAAAACGGTATATTTCGAAATTCGATATCCTCCATTACGTATTCGATCGTAAAACGTGAGGCGTAATAGAAATAAGGCAATACGTCATAAAAGTTGAAAAGAAGAGGGAGGGGGGGGGGACGAATAAAAGGAAAACGTGACTATGGATCGTATTCCTTTTTTTGTATAATTTTCTTCTTCCATCGCAATTTTGGGACAAAATTTAAAACGTACACATTCCACTTTTGTTCAATGTTGTTTCACTTTTCACGCGATACGTGATCCGCATATTTGATTTAACTTTACCATTTTCGAAACTTTGAACCCGTTATAATAATAAAAATTTCATTCGAAAACGTTTTAAAGTATTCCTCGTATTTATTAAAAAAAAAAAAATTTGCTTGAATTTACTGGTAAATTTCGTGTAATGCCACTGTGAAATAATATCCCGTTTAATTTTCGAATCGTTCCAAATCTTCCCTTCCTGTTGCAGCAAGCAAATAAATATCGTGTTCGATCGAGGAAAGTAAGAAAGTAAGGCTGACAAATATCACAGGCTAACAAAACTGTAGAATTTGGTAGGTAAATAATATTAATAAATTGCGAAATTTTAATTTATTTCGGGAGTATTTCGAGCGAGAAGTACCCCCCCCCCCTTCCTCCTCCCCCCGATAGAAAAATATTCGTCACCCGAGAACGTCACTCGAGCAACGAGATGGTTCAATACAGAATTACGAAATATTGGATTTTTCGTTGAAAATACAAGGTTCTCGCGTTTCTTCGAAAAATACAAACGCGATACTGCCTCTAAACGACATTCGATCCTCCACCGTGCCAACTAAACATTACACTTCCACTCTATTCCCCTTTCACCCTTTCCTTTCCTACATCTATTTTTCTTTCACCCCTTTCCTCCCTTATTTCATCCCCCATTGTCCGCAATTTGTTTTCGCAACTTGTTGTTGTTGCGCTCGTTTTTCCTCCGATTATATTACGTTTCCAACATGTTGCCAACATCTCGCAAAAATATCCAAAACTTGGAAACACGAAGTCGAAGTCGACAGGGAAACGACTACGCGATTAGATATATATTATTTCGCAAAAGCATTAGCATGCCTTCCCTCGTTGTTCAGAAGGGAAGGCAAGTGTAGAACTATAAGATTGACGGCGAGGGAGGAAATATAGAGCGCGGGGGGGAGGGGAGGGGGGGGGGAGAGCGTGTAAATCGCGGCTGACGAGTGGGCGGGTTTGCACGAGGCGTGACGACACGAACAAGAGGGGAAACTTTCAAATTTCTTCCGGCGATAATGGCCGGTTTCCTGGTCGGGATTATGACATCGCCACGCCACGGCAAGTCGCCTCTCCGCCTATATCGTTTCGCCGCAGATTTTATCGAGGAAACGCGATCGTGGACGCGATAAAACGGAATTTCCATCCACCACCGTGTCGAATTTCGTTAAGCCACATGTGGGGGGGGGGAGGAGGAGGCGGAGGAGGAGAGGAGGAGGAGGGAGATGATACCGATCGATGTAAGGTCGCGTCACGCTCGCTCGATAAAACGGTTCGTTTCTACGTTTCGAAGCTGATATCGATCGTTTTGTGGTTTTGGGTTTCGAGCGTTCTTCTATCGTGTATTTGAGTCGGTAATTGGAAGATCGGTAATTAAATGGCGCCTCGTGTCGCGGATATTTTACGAACGTTGAACGAAAATTTTGAACGGGACAATTTCTTTCGAATTTCTCAGGATATTTTGGAAGAGGAATTATTTCTCGTGGATTATTTTGTTGATCGAAAATATCGCGGAATATGCTTAAGCAACGTGTGAATACGAGTAAATATAATATTTTTCGTACCAATTTTATGTATTTACTACTTGGAAAGAATATTTTTTCATCATATTGGGTTATTCGCTTAGATTTCCGCAATGGAAGTAATTCGAAGAATTTAATTTTTCTTCACAATCATTTTAAAACCGTGTGAATTCGGTTATTCAAAGTGGGGGCTTTATCGAAAAAGGTTCCGGATCAAAGGATAGAATCGGTTCACCTCGGTATTTGAACGGCACAGGGTATTTGAATATTACAGCGTGAATTTCTCTACGATCCCCTGGGACTCCTCCGCTAATTTATGACACTCTAGATCGATGCAGTCGGGAAATTCAGGTCGTGGCCCTCTTTATCTTTCGCGCTTTGATTATTAACCAATCTCTTCCTTCTCGCTAATTGTATTTTTGTAATCTCGAATATTGCTCCATTGAATCGCTTCACACACATTTTCTACGCAAATTCCAACGATTCCTTGCCCGATATCTCGCGATTAAATATCTCACATTGCGTACATTTATCTTACACCATATTAAATGTAACGGAAGAAAATTTCTCGATCTTCAATTCTTCCTTTTTCTTTTTTTTTTTTTTGTATTACGCGTAAAAATGATAAATCAGTCTTTACACCCTCCCCTGATTTCAATAGAGAATGCAAGATTAAAAGAAATATACACGCATAGTGGCTGTGTTTTCTCGAATAGAATTTCTTTGTTCCAATGTAAATTTCGTTTTTATCTCGGCGCAGGTCTGACAAAACGGATCCCAAAGGCATGGCCAGCAGCACGGAGGATTACGGGTCGGAATTACAGGAGCTGCAGTGGGGTGGGGGTGGCGGGTCCCACTTCCTGCGTAGCGGTTCCCACTTCCTGAGGAGCGGTACCGGTGGTTGCTACGAGGCCGAGGATTTGGAGCCGACGAGCAGGCACCATGGCAGCCAACACAGGGGATATTACAGCCCTCCCGGCACGAGTTACACGATCGTCGAGAGGCCGCCGAGTGCCCCGCACCACCATTCCTCCCACACCACCCCGTACAGGCACAGGGGACACGCCACGGGGGGATCTGGCGCCATTTCGCCCGAGCAGGTGCTTAGGTAAGTGCTTTCCTTGTTTTTTATTTCTCTTCCCATTCGTATTTACGTGGGAATCTTTGTTCAACAATCGAATGCTTGTGAATGCTCGAGAAATATCGTTAAATTATCAGATCCACAAGGGATAATTCGAGTTTTATTAAATCGAGATTGAAAAGTTTTGTAGTAATATCAATCTCATCGTGTTAACATTTAGATATTGATGGAATATCCGATTAAACAGCTGAGGGAAATGTGAATCGGAACAACTTGGAAATTCATCGAATAAGTCATTTAATTATAAAACACACGAGTCCAGTTAATTCCAAATCAAATTCTGAGCCAATTCTTACAAAATTGCAACGAGTCGATTACAAATAGAATTGAATTCAACATGCGATAATTTACGCAAGAAAATATCCCACGAATATGCGCAACGTTTCAAAGGGTAGAAGATTAAGAATAGCCAGGATAAAAGTATAATAAGAGAAAGCCGCGAGTGATACACATTATTTTAAAAAGAAACTGACACTTTCGTTTCGTCAGACTTTTCGGAAACGGTGTGTCGGAGCGTCGACAGGGGGACAGAAGGACACCTGCCTCCTCGCCTGCGAGCGTTGCAGCGGTGAGAAGCACGCCATCCTCGACGTCCCAGCAGCAGCAGCAATCCCAGCAATCGCAGCAATCGCAGCCGAACCCGGCCAATCCCCCAACCTCGCCGAGCTCCCAGCCCCTCAGCCTTCAGGAACTCACCGTAAGGACAATCACCATGACGAGAGATCCGCCGGACTCTCACGGCTTTGGGATCTGCGTGAAGGGTGGCAAGGACGCAGGTGAGATCCGAAGTACCTTCAGGCTACCCCCATCGCCGTACTTCGCGCCTCAAGATCGAGGTATCTTTCGAAAAACTGTGACTTTCATTGCCGTTCGTTGCTCGCCGTTCGTTGCTCGTCGCCGTGGTGCTCGATTCTCATCGAATTGCGATTCGTCACGTATTGGAATACTCGTTTCTTCTCTCCTTCTTTTCTTCGCTTTTAAACGTTTGAACATTTTTCGTTTTCAAGGGGGGGTATATTTTGTACTTTGAATTGTTTTACTCGTGGTTACCGTAATACTGCAACGATACGATGGTAGTATAATTAATAATAATAATAATAATAATAATAACGTAGTTATGGAATTAGAGCTCGTTTTTATCGAGATTTTGAAAATTTTTTTAAATCGTTTGAATTCATTTTTCACACGAATCTCTCTCTCGGTACGATTCACTTGGTACGATTTAGTAAGTAAAATGTTTCCTTCGTCAACTTGAATTACTCAATGATTTCAAGATTTGACGTTCTAAGTTACGATTAAATTAATACGAAACGAAATCGCAATCGATATTTTCACACCACGACGCGATCTTCTATCTATCGTATATCTTTCTAAGCAGATTCAGCCCTTGTTTCGCTGGCAATAGCGTCACCGACACCCTGTGCTTCCTGTGCTTCAGCACAGCTGTCACGTGTCTTTCATTCTCACCGTCTTTCCATCCTCGTGACGAATCCTTCCATCAAACGAACAATTCGGTGTGTTATTTACAGAAAAGCAGTAAAGAGTTTTACGATGCTATTAAACTCAGGTTTCTTTTTTCTTCTTTTCTTTTTTTTTTTTTTTTTTTTTTACGTTAACTTGAAATTTAAATAACGTAAATTTTATCTCGATGAACATTGTCTGCCAAAATAAAGCTTTCTTTATTCTTTTTTTTTTTTTTTTATTCAACGAGCAACAATAACCATGAAATTTTTAATTTTTTAAATTCGATTTTTTACATACTACATGTTGTACATTTTAGAATGGAAAGTATGAAATGAAATATAATTTTGTAAAGATAAATTATTTCGGAATTGGCAGAGAACGTTTGTTTTCGTTTCGAATTCGATCGGAAGGTGATCGTCGCGAAAGGCAGGGAATGGTGGGGAGAAAACATGTTTTCGATCATTGAATGTCGTTTCCATTCCAGTTACGGTCTCCCGCGCGAAAGGACGTATTACATTCGGATCGCGTTTCGCCTCGATTTTTTTCCCTTCTTCGTCTCTCATCGTCTCTTTTTTATCATTGTACGGGAAGAAAGTCACCATTCGTTCAATCGATCGATGACCGGCACGATTTTTCGAACGAAAAAAAAAAAAAAAGAACAATAATTGAAATTATCGCGATTTTTATCTCTAATTTTTTTTTTACGACGTTGGTTTTATAATCTATGCTGGAATTCTCTGAAAAACCAGTGGAAATATCGAAGAAAAGAAATACGAACAATTGGTATTCACTGTTCCTTCTTCTTATATTAATATTTTTCAAATTTTATTTTCCATTTTATTATCGTAAATTTTCCAAAATTAATTACAATTTCGCGCACAGTATTCTCAAAATTATAAATTTACAATAACATTCAACTATCCCATCTACACTTTCCTCGTCCAAATCAACAATTCTACGAAGAAGTACCATAAAGCTTTCAAAGAAATCGATAATCTGACACGAATCAAATTATAATATATCAAGGAATAATGGACGAACAACCGGAGGAATCGTTCTTCGATTAACAAAAAGCGCGATCGCATATTGGGCGCGATAGAGTATTCGTGGCGCGAATATCCCGTTTTCGGTGTAATTAGCGATACCGACTAATTGACCAGCGATACGTCCGCTTCTAATTGCCTCCACTCCTCGCGCATATTTTTCTTCCGCCGGATTGGACCGGATGTATATCCGCGATCGATTCGAAGAAATCGTTTCGTTCCGCTCCTCTCGCGAGTTTGTGTTGAGAATTACAAAAGAAAAAGAAAGGAGTCGATTTGAAAGCGATCAAAAAAATGTTTGCTCTGCGATTTTGTATAAAACCAATGCAGCGAAACACGTTAGGTTGATTTTGAGAGATTGCTTTTTTTAATTCGAACGTAGACGAGGCTGAAGATTGAATTTTGTTTAACGCGAATTTAAATAATAATTTACGATCCAGTTTCAACCAAATATATTTTTTACGTTATACGAATTTTTGTTTCGATCGATAGAATCGGTTTCACGTTTCACGTGCATTTTGTATATTACGAATTCTCGAGAGGAGCTTCAAAAGTTTGAAGAGAAATGTTTAGTAATTTCGGGGAAATTTTTTCATATCGTTATCGCTTTATTTACCGTCTTTTTATATCGGGCGGTTGTTTACCAGGCTAAGATAGGCAAACACCCAGAGCAATTTATCGTGGCCGATGAAGGGGACGGTTTGTTTCGTTTAGTTGATATCGAGGATGTAGAGTTAGTTGAAAAATTGTTATTGGTTTTTACGAAGCTTTATGGATAGGTGGAAAAATAAGAGAGAGAGAGAGAGAGAGAGGAAGAAGATATTCTA